ACTCTCACCTACCACTCTCCATCCCTTTCCAAAATAGATTTTTTTTTTAAAAAAGGACTCTTATGCTTTTCAACTTTTTTATTTATTAATAAACCTGTGGGTTTTTTAAAAAAATATAAATAAATAAAAATAAATTGTAAGCACAGCTGGTAGGGGCTGATTGAAATGTTTTGCCATCGAAGCTGTGTTCATTAATTTCTTCAAGATGCTGAAACAGGCATTAAGGTTGCCTGTTGGAGTCCTTCCCAGTGTCATGTGGAACAGCAAGGGGGCTAATCGTCAGCCTTGTAACATCAACTGGTTACCCCCCTCGTGCGGTGTGAACCTTTCCCCTCCAGTGAAAAATGAACCTGTCTGAGACAAAAGCACAAAGTATGCAGGCAACGAGACAATGCCATTACTCAAGCCCCTATATAGGTCTCTGTTCCCAGATCATTAAGAATCATATCTTCATGATATTAATAAACACCTACCCCAAAGCCCAGATCTAAACCTGCATGCAGGTATATTTATATTTACCTCTTTGTCAATATCATTCAGCCCAAGTAACTCCGAGAGCAGCACGGCTTTGCTTCAGTTTCCTCCTTTTGGACCTAACTTTTCAAGAGTTAATTCCCGCCCCCTCCCTCACCATCACCTTGGGTGGAAATTGTGTTGTCATATATCATGTGGCCCAGTCAGCAAGGAATTTAACTAACATCTCCAGAAATTATTTCTATCACGTTTTAATGATTTTACTAAAACATCTGTCATCTCATTCATCTTTGGGAAGCGGCAGGGAGGTGTGGGAGAATAGTTCTTCAAGGAATCCATTTCTTGCTTCACTTTTTTTTGGGGGGGGCAGCAGTTTTGTTTCATTTTCTTTGCGCTAACTACAGACCTTTGGTCTTTGTGTGGTTGTGCGTGCGTGTCTTTTGGATCATTTTGGTCTAATTAAATAACGATTTGGAGTATTTTGGGGGGGGTTCGACTAGATGACACTCACGGTTCCTTCCGTTTCTACAATTCTGTTTTTAAAGTTAAACCATGTATTGGTGACTCCCTATAACCTTGTATTCTAGTTTTGTGTGCTTGTATCCTATTGAAGAAGGGACGCGGGTGGCGCTGTGGGTTAAAGCACAGAGCCTAGGACTTGATGATCAGAAGGTCAGCGGTTCGAATCCCCACAACGGGGTGAGTTCCCGTTGTTTGGTCCCTGCTCCTGCCAACCTAGCAGTTCGAAAGCACGTCAAAGTGCAAGTAGATAAATAGGTACCGCTCTGGTGGGAAGGTAAACGGCGTTTCCGTGTGCTGCTCTGGTTCGCCAGAAGCGGCTTAGTCATGCTGGCCACATGACCTGGAAGCTGTACGCCGGCTCCCTCGGCTAATAAAGCGAGATAAGTGCCGCAACCCCAGAGTCGGCCACAACTGGACCTAATGGTCAGGGGTCCCTTTACCTTTATCTTATCCTATTGAAGGGTCTGGGTAGATATAAAAAGAGGAAGGTCAGACCCTGAGTCAGACCCTTAGTTCATCCACCACAGTATTATTGACACTGATTGGCAGCAGTCTTCGAAGATTTCACACCTTTCACCTGGAAAAATGCTGGAGCTTTCTGCCTGCAAAGCAGATGCTGTACCACTGAGCTGAGGTCCTTCCCTATAGACCATAGACGGACCTAACGGCAGTGTTGCAGCTAGTGGCACCTGGTGAATTTTGGAGTTGGTGGGGTTATACTGATTTGTGAACATAGTGCATCACTTCAGCACACCTGCACATTTTTCTTGCCCTTGGGCATACTCTCCTCCACCCAGTAAATAACCACAGCCATCCTTCATTCCATGCCAGTGATCATATCAGTAGCTGAATTAGCATTATCTGCGACTTTTCAGACCAGTTATTGCCTCTGAACATATGCAGAGTGTGTTTTCCTAGTGACTGAATAATTGAGCCAGGGCTTGATGATACCAAAACAGAGTACCATCCCTACCTTGTTCTTCTAAATAAATAAAAATAATGCAGTTTTTTTATCATTAATTGTCCCTACTATTTATTTGTTTGATTCCGTTTATGAATCTCTTCCCCTGAAATATCTCAAAGGAATTTCGCAGTGAAAACATCAACAATGAAAACAATGAAAAGCAATCCCATTTGTAAACAATTAAAAACAATTTCATATGCAAAAACAATTTCAAATCCAATACAGATGCACACTGAGATATAAGTTGAAAGAGGAGGCTGTGGCAGATACCTATAGGTAGTGCAAAAATGTAATATATCAGAGTATGTGTGTGAGGAACAGAAAAGCAACAAAAAAATACAGGGATAGTAAACTAACACCCTTATCTGAAAGCTCCTAAGGTGGTATGTAAGCTTTTAAGTTACACAGAACTCTTTCCTCAGAGTGAATTCAATTAAAATGGGAGCAATAGATGCTTCTGGTTGGGAGACACCACCATGTTTAGTCTTTTTCTGAAATCTATTTCAGTCTTAAAGTGACAGTAAAAAAAGATTGTGCGGACTAAGAACTATGCTTTATTTATCTATAACACTTCTGTACAGTTGGGCAGCTCTCCAAAGCTATTAAAATACCCCAATAAACAGCATTGTGATAACATGCCAAAACAGTAAAATACTCGTTCCAAAAGGCTCCAGTTATGATGACACCAGGGTCCTATCCCTGTCTACTCAAAAGTAAGGGATGAAAGGATTGCAGTCATTTGCAAAATTCTGCCTCCAGCATCAGTGTTCTTAGCTAGCCTGAGAAATGGGTATCAATAAAGTCCTCAAGAGGACACGATCAGTCTTAGGACTTCAGGTCAGGGAGAAGAGATGCAATGGTTCTTCCTCGGCCAATTCAATCTCATTTAGGGGGTCTTAGTGGTGGGCGCGGGTGGCGCTGTGGGTTAAACCACAGAGCTTAGGAGTTGCTGATCAGAAGGTCGGCGGTTCAAATCCCTGCGACAGGGTGAGCTCCCGTTGCTTAGTCCCTGCTCCTGCCAACCTAGCAGTTTGAAAGCATTTCAAAGTGCAAGTAGATAAATAGGTACCGCTCTGGCGGGATGGTAAACGGCGTTTCCGTGCGCTGCTCTGGTTCACCAGAAGCGGCTTAGTCATGCTGGCCACATGACCTGGAAGCTGTACGCCGGCTCCCTCGGCCAATAAAGCAAGATGAGCGCCGCAACCCCAGAGCCGGCCACGACTGGACCTAATAGTCAGGGGTCCCTTTACCTTTATCTTTAGTGGTGGGCCTCATTGTTCTCCGTTTCCGTGTGGGCAGAATGTCCCTGGTTCAATTGGTGGCATTTCCAGCAAAACAGAGAGTCAATGTCAGTCAGAACAAACAGCTCTAGGTTTAATGGACTCACTTAGTAGAAAGCATGTTCATTATATAAATGAATATTATGCCGAGGCAGAGGATTCGCATCTAAATGCAGATGTCGTCCATCTGTACTGCATGACTTTCAGTGGGATGAGTGTGCACCTGAGTTTTCCTGGTTACCAATGTTCTGCCCTAACTAGGTACCCATAACTGCATATAGCAGGGGCTGGATTAGGGCAAAGCTTTTGCTGGACACCGCAGGTGGGTAGTGAGACTGCCACTGAAGCATGACAAGGCACAGAGTGTCGGCCATATTGCATGCACAATAGGGCTGTGTTCTCTATTACCAGTGAGCCGTAATGGCTAGAGCAGGGGTCATCAAGGTTTACCTTGCCTGGTCCGGTTCACTCCCTCAGAGATCGCTTCATGGGCCGGATCGCGTCTGCACAGACGCAATTTCTGGTGTCTGTGTCTGCGCAGACATGAGATTTCCGGGGCTGCAGAAGCGAGTTCCCCCTCTGCACTGCGCCAGTTTAGTGCAGCGCGCGGGGACTTGCCAAGCTGGTGGTTCGGTTCGGGGGCGCTTCGGGGGCTGTTTAAATGACCTCCGTGGGCCACAGGTTGCCGACCCCTGGGCTAGAGCATTGGACTAGGACCTGGGAGGCCAGGGTTTGAATCCCCACTCAGCTATGAAACTCACTGGGTGAACTTGGGCCAGGCAACATCTCTTAGCCTAATCTACCTCACAGGGTTGTTGTGAGGTTGAAGTGTGTGTGTGTGTGGGGGGGGAGAACCATGTCCACCACCTTGAGAGCCTTGGAAGATAAAGGTGGTATATAAATGTAATATAAACAAACAAACAAACAAACAAACAAACAAACAAACAAACATACTTCCTTCTCAGTCAGAGTGAAGGTAATGGAAGGTCTTCATTTACCCTTATTGATATTGTCACTGAGCCAAGTCAGATTGGCTATGGGGACCTGTGATCACTGATTGAAGAAGCCCCTTCAAATAAACAACAACAACAACAACAAATATAATAATAATAATAATTTTTTAAAAATGGTGCCAGAGCAGCAGCAGGTTGACATATGAGATCTGTGAGCAGCTCGAAAAAATGTGGAAAAGTGTTATGTCCCCCAGGAATAATTTTGCTTCATATAACAATACTTGAAAATACATTCAGCCTCTCATAAAACCTAGAACTTGACACTGCTGATCCAGCAAGTCCAGGCACTTTAACTGGCTTGTGATGGGTTATGATACTGAGCTTTTGAGCTAAAGCTATCGCCCTCATAGCTTTCATTGACTTCTTTTGTCAACATAGCTTTCATTGACTTCTTCCTCCTTAGCTCTATTAGGATGGGCAAATTCAGCATGTTTCTCCACAGCTGATCAAAGTGAGGTTAGCTATGTTGTTCCACATGAACAGAAGCAGATCACTAGTGAGATTATGGCTTTCAATGAACCAACTGGAAGTTGAGAAATGCTGCAGAAATCTTTTGAGTTCCCCAATTAAAGAGTAGCTTATGAAGTCTCCAGAGTTTGTTGTAGCATTTTTTTTGCATCAGATTGTTAACTATGTTTCTTGAATCAAATATTTCTAGTTTTCTAGTTTGAAAAGAACAGGAAACAAATAGCTGCTCTGACAGCATAGATAGACCCCATACAGAAAAGGAAGGCATGAACACACACACACACACACACACCCAAGTACCTAAATCTATTTGTTCTAAGAAATATTTAAAGATGAGAGAAAACTACCAGGTATTGCTGAGATTAGTCAGAGAGCACACATCAATGAATTTTTTATTCCAAAAAGGAACTTGTGCCTAAATTAAATATATATGATTTCTTTTTTTCCCCTTCAAAAAAAGGTCATCTCTGTCTCCTAGATTAAGCACACTATTTCTTTACTGTACTGCCTAATTTTACTAAGGTAGAGACCACAAGTCTCCATGACCCAAAATTTAAGTTATAAATAGGCTGATTGTATGTATCATTCTGAGGTTTATAGCTTCAGTTAATGGCATAAGGCTCAAAGAGATGCACACAACATACTGAGGAAGGATTGTAGCAGAGTCGTAGAGTGTGTGCTTTGTGTGCAGAAGGTCTCAGGGTTCAGCATCTCCAGGTAAAAAGGATCAGGTAAGCAGAGATCTCTCACTTCACCTGCTGTGAATTGGTGTGCCATTGCCAGTTAGGGTAAACTAGGCTTCCCAACCAGGTGCCCTCCAGATGTTTTAAAGTACAACTCCCACCAGTCACAGCCCAAATGGCCCAAATGCCATTACCAACAAAAGCTTTGACATAGGCAAGGAAGGAAATGGCATCTGCAGCAAAAACCATGTCCAGTCGATGACATTTCCTGCCCACAAGTATTTCAGTGTGGTAACTTTGCGGCAACAGCGATTCCAAGATTATTTTCATGAGATGATAATTACAGAGACCTCAAATTGCATTTGTGGTAAACAAGTGGTGCAAACAAAATAATTCAGGGAAGATTTGCAGAATAAATCAATCCAAATGCATATCTTAAGTTACCAGAGCATAACTTTGAGCATAACACCCCTCTGGTCTTCTCCAGGGATCCTCTAACTTTCTGTCCTTACTGGGAAGCTCATGCAAATAGCATATGCTGTGTGTGGCACCAGTCAAAGAAAACAGAGCAGCTTTCCTGTAAATGCTCATCTTTGAATCACAGAGTGACACTCCTGCCCAAAGTCCACTCAGAGTAGCAATGGGCTAAAGCCCAGGCTATTTCATGACTTTTGGGGTTGGATGAAAGCATGCTTAAGATTGGATTAATTGAGGACAGGGGGGATCTAAGAACTTTTGGGTCAGGTGGGCTTATCCTTAAACTGATGTAGCTCAGTTTTACACACATGCACATGCACACGCACACGCACACACACACACCTTTGCTGCCTTTTCAAGCAGTGTTTGGCTACCCTTAGCAGTGTGGTGTAATTCAGGACAGACTGCTCCATAGGGGGAATGATGCTACATTATGGCCATGGGTTAGCTTTTGGGAAATGATGCTGTAACCTGACATAATTTTGTTCCCATGGGGAGGGAGTGCATCTCCAAGTTGTTGGGAGGGCAATGACAGGTGCTGAGGGCACCCAAACTACTGCTTGCAGTTAATAACAATAAAAACTTTGCTCCCTTGACTTTGAGCTAAGCCTATCGCCTCCCAACATTTCTTTGAATTCACTTCCCCCTTCCTGAAAGTTGCAGATCTCTCCGCCACCCCAACACTTCCACAGGGAACAAATGGCCCTATAGGTATGTGTGTGAATATTCAGGCTGGCCTTAATTTGGAGTCATGAGCTAGACCCTTCCTCCATTCTCACGTGTAAACTCTGAGCTGAAGAGGTCAAGACTCTCTTTCAGCCAGCAATGTGGTTGCCTCCAAAAACAGATGCTGGAAGCCTGGGCCTCCCTTCTAGCATGGCTGACCTGCATGGGTTCAGGTGATTTCACTGATGGGAGAAGCCTCAGCCACAGAGCAGCGATTTTCATCAGCGATGCTTCAGAGTAGATCTTTCGATCAGACTGTGATCTTGCCTCCTCAGATGCCACCAGGTGGGAAGAAGGGCCTCCTGTCAGTTTGTTTTCTCTTTTATCATCAGAGAATTCATTGCATTCCTCTATTCAGAATGCCTGCCTTAACTGTGCTAGGAGAAGGCAACATACATAATCAGGAAACATGACAGTAAAGTTGCAAATCTTCAGCTTTTTTGTATATGATTTGTTTTGCATGCATAAAAATACACAGCTTCAGCTTGTGAGCATTTTTAAACGCTCGGTGCCATGTGCAAGAAGAAGCATCACATTTCGCTATGTAATTCACTTTGCTGGCACTGATGAGGGATGATTTCCCCCCCAGTGTGGCATAATATTAATGTTTCTCCCTGCTGGCTTCCAAGCCTGTGGGTCAAAGCTCATGTTTCACAACACAGAACAGCCAATCATAAATCTTCTTAAATCATACAGAAGGCAGGAGAGGGTCACTGCAGGGAAAGCTAGTCAGTCTGAACAAAGTGGCATTGATGCATGGAAGGAAGAAGAGACTGGTTTTGGAAAGGTATTGCATGAAGCCATTCGCAGTCTTGAGAAGGACTGCTTTGCCTGTTTATGTAATACATTACAACAGCAATTATCTATGACAGGTCCCTGTCCCAAAGAGCTTACAATGCAAATTCTGAGAACGTGGAGAAAACAAAAGATGAAGGAATCAACAGTATGAAGACACCACACCTCTTCCTTTTCATGGTTTCTTTAGTGCTTTATTCAACACATTCAAGATCCAGTATGTTACACAGAACCGTTGAATAGCCTTGACAGACAACAACCCCCCAAAAATAGATCCTGCTGACCAATTCTCTTTGGCTTTGGAGAAATTATGGGTCTTGTTCCTGCATTACATACACAGGATTGCTTTGGTTTTGCCCATTTAGCAATAATATAACTCATAGCTTTTATCCTCCCCCCAATACTATTTTTGGTATATGGAGGATTAGTATGAGCCAGCATTCAGTGGCTTTTTAGTTTAATTCCTGGTGATCATTTAACAGGAATTCATTAGGCCAGCATCACCTCTCTGGAACCCCATTATGTGAATTTGCTTTCAGTTCTCACTGTGTACATTTTACCTGGACTTTCGCAAAGTTTTGACTGGTGCTTTTTATCCTCTTTTCTACAGATGGGGTGGTTTGGCAGGTATTTCCATCAATCATTTTTTTAAAAAAACCTTTGCTTGCTTTAATTTGTTGTGCTAAATATGATATTATCACTCTGTAGTTCTGCTTTAAAAAACACAATGTATCTAGAAATTCCCCCCTTAAAATACAGCAAAATGAAAAAATGCATGTTTGTTGTAATACACACCAAATAATTCAAGGAATAGGGATTAGCTTGATGTTATTTACTTTTCAGGATCAGTTTTGATAGGACTTATAAGTGCCAGAACCCTTGGTTGTAATCAGCAACTGCTGTTGCTAACATTTTTTTTTTTGCAGCTTAAGCGAAAACAACTATTACTCGAACCCCCTGCAGTGATAAGTGAATGTGTCAGTGAAATTATTTTAAACACTTCCAATTCACTAAAAGTGTGTATTTATTCTCTGTATTTGCAAGCTGTTCCTATAATTTCACCCTCTTATTTAGTTGCCCTATAATATCAAATTACTCTTAAACCATTTTGGTGTAACACATATTGCTTGAAAAAAAAGAAAGCACAGAAAGGAAATATTTCACTCTAGTATACACATCTCCACCCTGCCCCCATCCCTGTGATCAGCATAATCATTCAGAGAACATTTATTTAAATTCAGACGGCATTTAAATAATGCCAATATCAAATGGGCCAAACCTTGCAAAACAAAAACAAAAACCCCATGATACAACTGTTAATATGGAGGAGATTATGGAATAAAATTAAAATGTGAACTACCTTTCAGCTGTAAGGAAGGAATAAAGTCAGCGATGTACACCAGCAAACCACAAAGTCGGCAAATAAGACAGGGACTAGCTTATTTGCAATGTATGGGCACATATCAAGCTTAAAGTTCAATTTGCCTTTTTAATGTGATGCTGGCTTCTCATCTTTCCCAAAATACTTGGATGAAACCATAAAGAAGCATGGGGATGCCTCAAAATCAGGCACCATGTTGAGTCCCCGCCCCTGAATCTGGAGGGTTTAAAATCTGTGAGCTTAAAATCTGGGGCCTTCTAGTCCTGAAATTTGTATTTGTACAGAAATTTTTCCTGCTCTTTAATCTTAATTTGTGCTCTTTAATCTCACACAGTTTTTAATTCCACAAAGACTGTGTGGAACAGAGATTGAGAACTTTTTTTTAGAAGCACCACCGGATTTTCCTCCCTAGTCAATAGTAGGGCAGGTGGGCAGAGATGTTCTCCTGACCCCATCATTATTGCTGCTTACCTGGACGGGGCTGGGATGGCAAGGTGGCAAGTTCTCAGCTACATGAGTACACTGGTGGGAGCACTGGATTGGTGGCAGCAGCATTCCCACCTGTTCAACAATCTTTTGGAAGGACAGCAGTGTAGCTGTGCCCTGCAGCAGTTACTATCACTACTGCTTCTAGCGCCGACTCTAGACATTTTGGTACCTGAGGTGAACCACAAAATAACTCCCCTTCCCTACCAGGGAAGGAGTGAGTGAAGATGTAAATCAGGTACAAGAGGGAATAAATATCTGCATCAGGATCTGCTGTCCCTGTGGATCCTGCCACCTGAGGCATTTACCTCACCTTGCCTCATGAGTGGGCCGGCCCTGACTGTTTCTGGTTCCAGCCTGAACATAACTAACAAACCAAATGGAGAGGAAAACCTGAACTAAACAGCACCCCCCCACCACCAAAGAACTATGTCAAGATTACTAAACTGTATAGTGAAGGAATATCCTCAAACACCACCAACAAATATCCATGTATTTCAAGTTAAGATGCCCAGAAGAAGATGTGAGACATCCAGGATAATTTTAGGAAGTTAATGAAGGATAGGGAAAACTCTGCATTCCCACTTTTACATCCATCTATTGCAAAGATAGATGAAGGACCAGTATGGACTCAACCCCTGGGCAGCCCATCCAGTTTGCCCCAAAGCCTGAAGCAGAAGCATAATTAAAAGCGCAAAAGCTTTTGCTATGATAACTGGTAAACACTATACAGAGAACTTTAGTGGGAGATAGGTATGGATTAATCTTGATTCCTCAGGAATCTTTAACTGTGTGTCAGACAAGTTTCAAGTCAGTTTGAGAGGGGAAATGGTGCAGTAGTTACCGTAAGGAGTACTATCTTAAACTCCCCCCTTTCTACTTTCTTTTATTCTATTTACTGTTGTGAGGAAACCAAACAACAGGAACACGCTTGTCAGCTGTGCCAGAAATGGCAGGCAAAACCTCTTGCGCCACTGGGAGTTTTTCTCTCTCCCCTCCCATGCTTTTACATATGCCAAGAACAAGCACAAAAAATTGTTTTATGGTGGTTTAACAAAACGGGAGACAAATGCTGGCCCCATGCAAAAGAACTGAATTACACACTTCATGAACCAAATTAGTACCACAGCGCTTTGCTTTGTCTGAAAGGTGATGTGCGTTTACAGACCCATTTTTCAGCAAGATAAATATGACATGCGCCAAGTCTTCCCCAAGTAAATATTGTAAATAATAAAAGACTCTGCCAGGGAGAGCTGAGAAATGACTTAACCCTCACCCATTTGTACTGTGCGATGCCAAAATGCCACTGGCCAGATTTGTATAACAAACTGCCCGTTTAGTCCTCTAATATATTGCACCGCAGCCTTCCTTAATTCCCCGCGATCATCAACATTGCTGGTTTAATTGTGTGCCATTCAAGTGGAAGCATAATGCATGCTGAAAGGAGAGTTCTTTATGGTTGGGTTTTTCAACCTTGCCCACACAAGGGCTGCTCCAGGACTTGCCATGTTCCCTAAGGCCTCCATTCCATAAAGCAAAACAATGTGCAGTGTCACTCTTTCGTAATGCGACTCCTTTGAGAAGCACAGCTTGCAGCTGTGATGAGAACGTAGGCTGTTGTTCCAATTACTGAAGCAGTCACTTAGGCTGCTTTGGTCGAAAGACAAGGTTCCTACTGGCAGAGGTGCTGGTCGTGCATACAAGGCATGGACCCCTGCTCCATGTCACTAGGGTTCCTGCAAACCTGCATCTGCCTGGGGTGGCTTTAAGGCTGAATCAGCCTTACAGGCAATCACAGTAGGTGCAAACATCATCAATCTCCAGATGTTCAAAATCAACCATTGTGATCAAGATAACAGGCTGCATAACTGGATGTACGCTCATCATTTGTAAGATCGATTCAGAGCATACAGCTAATTTATGATCAAAGGCTGCATAGGAAGGGCAAGGACTAGGAGTGCGTGCCTTTACCCTGAATTTGGGGCAGGTTGACATTCCAAGATGATCTTAAACAAGGCAGTAATTCAGGAGGTCATGAAAATTGCTTATCTGCTGAATCAAAGAAATCCCCCTTCTCCCTTGAGAGAGGAGTAGAGTACATGCTGTGCATGAAGGTGGTCCCAGGTTCAGTTTCTGGCATCTCCACTTAAAAGGGTCAGGTAGCAGGTGACTGAAAAACAACCCCCCCCCCACCAAACCTCAGACCTCAGAGCTATTGCCACAATAGTAGGCTAGACAGAGCCTTACTTTCCTAGGTTTTCCTTTTGATTACTGTTGCCAGTTTGGACCAGTTCTAAACAGGGGCCTGGATGCAAAAGAGAAAAGGGCTCTGATATCTTTAATAGCAATGTTGAAGAGAGAATTCCTGCAGGTGTAGCCAGGTGCAGCTGAAATCTCTGAGTGTCTTTCCTCCTGCCGCTGCAGCATTGCCATAGCCTGCACCTGGTGAGATCTTGCCCCTTCAGAAATACAGGAGTCTTCCTAGTGTATGAATCTGAAACACATTAAAGGAAACAATCCAGTTTCCTGATGGATCATCCCAGTAATGGAAAGCTGTGACCTGGAAATTTCCCACAGAATACCTGCTTGTAAAGATGATAGAGAACACAGCTGTGGACATGCACTTATTCTCAGTAGGAGCTGAGTTCTTCTGTCGGGTTAGCAATTTCCCTAAACTTCTGAATCAATAACTGCTTTGCATGAGATAATGCAGGAATGAAAAGGTTTATTATTATTATTATTAAAGTATTTATGAAAAGCTAACTACTTAGATGATATCAGTCACCACCTACCTTTCTCAGCTCACAACTGTGTTATTTAACTTCATGGACAAGTCCTTTTCGTAATAGCAGTTCTTAATTGTAGTAACATCTGGGGATCCTGTTATAGAATTGGGACCTGAAGACTGGAACACAGCCTAGGCAAAGCCATACAAACAATGTTGGATGACTTCATAGATGACCATCTTTGTTTCTCACCCTAAACAATGGGTAGCACCAGGCAGAGATACATGTGCCTGGTTTCTGCCACAGATTCTCCCAGCTCACTAAGCACTGTTACTTCTTAAGCTTCTAACACCTCCTCTTCCCAGTCTTCTCCCTCTTCTCCTTCTGACCATTCATTGCTGTCCCACCACCACTCCCCGGGCTCTGAACCTTCTTCCCTTGGTGGTTCCCCAGATGATTCCTCCATCATTCCTCTGCATCCAACCAGTTCATGACATTAGTATTAGGACTGCTGCTTTCTGCATAGTTTGACATGCATGGCTTCATGAGTCTAGAGTCTTAACAACTGTGTTTTATTTAAAGTTGCACCTCCCGTGGTGTGAAGGGAGGTTTAAAATTGCTTTATTTGTATGTTGAGAGTAAGTTCACGTCAACTACTACTGCCTTAGACCTCAGTCCTATGTGTCTGTATATGGAAATATGCCCCAACAATCTCCTTGTGATATATTCCTTGGTAAACAGGCATAGAACTGGGTGTTGTTCATACCTTGTATAATCTAAGCATGCACTGACAGCAATTACTAATTCTAGATTATAATGTTCTGTATGAATGGCTGGTTTAGAATCACCAATTATAAGTACCTTTGTGCTTAAAGTTATTGTGCATGCATCTGCAATTGGATGATGAGCATTAGATTTTGGCTTCCCTTTTTGGAAAAAAAAAAGAGGAGCTCTAATTTGGCACAGTTGTGTAGTTTGCTGACATGTGCTTATGTTGGGTGTTGCGCATGACTGCAGATGCGTTAAGGAACACTGTAACTGCAGTACGTGCTTGTTTTTTAAGTGACCTGTTAAATATTTGTCTAATGCTGTGCATGTTGAGAAATGGTGGGGAAGCTGAAACATGAAAACATTCTTACTGTGTCGGGGCTATCTACTCAGTATCATTTCTCTTAACTGTTGCTAGTATCTGATAAATGATTATACAAGGGCACAAGGCAATCATGAGTACTCCACTCCCTGTTTGTAACTGTGAATTGACTCCTGTTTGGAGTGAAATTGTGGACTGTTTTTTTCAGAGACGACCAATTAGTTATTTTTGTCTTGTTAAGGGAGAAGAGCTTTCTTTTGGCTGAAAGTAGCTAGATTTATTTTTTTATATTGAAGAGGTGATGGGGTGGGTAGTTTGGGGCAGTTTTATGCTTCCTAAATGCCAATTTACCTGTATGTTGAGAGTAAGTTCATTTGAACCAGGTAGAGTTATTAATCAGTAGGTGGAGCAATTGTGCATTTCCTTAACTTCACATTCAGCACAAAT